CTTCCATCCTGCGACGATATCTGTAATACCATCAAACATCCACATCTGCCTATCCCAGGTCCTGGGTAAGGACTCGATAGGTAGACAAAATGCCAAATCCAGTCTGAACATCTGGCTGACTGTGCGATGATCCATAATAATAATAATAATAATAATAATAATAATAATAATAATAATAATAATAATAATAATAATAATAATAATAAAATGTTTCCTTTTCTTAGCCGTCTCTCCTAGTTTCTAGAGCATTTGATCTTCGCAGGGATATTTTCACTGCTGGCTTTGCTATTAAATGATTTATCATCTAATACATAATAAGATGGCAGGATCAGAAAAATAAATATCCAACTAAGGTTTCTATGTTTCATTTCGCTCATCTAGGATACTCCCTGGAATGTCATACATGCAAAGGACTATTGTGTTTTGATCCTAAGCCGTGTCCAGAAGGTCTTGATCAATGCTTTAAAAATGTAACTCTCTCGCTTGGTTTAATTCCTGGTAAGCACAGTCCTTTATCTTTTCTCACCGCTTTTCTTCTCGAACCCAAACTAGGGCTCCCAAATGCACCTGGGAGTTGGAGGTCGTGTAGGGCCTGTCTGTGCTCTGCCCCTGAGGTCACGACCTGTGGCCAGACAATCTAAGGGGGGCAAGAAAAGGGGGGCTTGGAGTGGGGAGCCCCATCTGTCCCAGCAACAGCACAGATTGGGGGAGACAACAACAACAACAACAACAACAACAATAATGTTGGAAGGGACCTTGGAGATCATCTAGTCCAGCGGTTCTCAACTTGTGGGTCGTGACCCCATTTGGGGTCGAATGACCATTTCACGGGGGTCGCCAAACAACGCAGTCAGCCATTTTTTTTTTGTCAGCCGGCGCAGGGGGTGGCACATGGGGCGGTGCCGCGCATGCGTGTCGCACAGGGGTGGGGCCACGCATGCGTGCCACGCAGGGGGCAGCGCAGGGGGTGGTGCTGTGCATGCATATCGCTCAGGGGCAGTGCAGGGGGCACCACTGCGCATGCGTGCCGTGCAGGGGGTGCCACGCATACGTGCCCCGCATGCATGCCGCCTGCTTATGACCGGGGTCGCCCTATAAAAAGGTTGAGAATCACTGATCTAGTCCAACCCCCTGCTCAGGCAGGAAACCCTACACCATTTCGGACAAATGGCTGTCCAGTCTCTTCTTAAAAACCTCCAGTGTTTGAGCATTTACTGCTTCTGGAGGCAGGTGGTTCCACTGGTTAATTGTTCTGACTGTCAGGAAGTTTCTCCTTAGCTCTAGGTTGCTTCTCTCCTTGGTTAGGTTCCATCTGTTGCTTCTTGTCCTGCCTTCAGCCCTTTGGAGAAAAGCTTGACTGCCTCTTCTTTAGAGAAAGGGGTGGAGGAAAAGGGGCAGGGCTGGGGGTGTGTTGTGACATTGACAGAAAGTAGATCTCGTGCATTAAATATCCAGGAGGGATGGCATTGCCCCCGAGTCATGTCAGAACATGGGACTTTCTCCCAGAGATATCTTCCTTGTTTATTCACTGACTCCTGAGTATTCCCTAGAGGAAGAAAGAGGTCCGCCTTCCCACTGGGAGGGAATCCACCGATGTGTTAAAAGTGGCTTTACCATTTTGTTCAGCCACAGCCCCAGATCTGTTTTTTAATAGTCATTCTGCTTTGTGTTTCCTTCACAGTACAGACGTTCGAAAGGGGATGTACTGCAAATTGCATTCCGAATGCGCAAACTCAGTGTTGCAACACAAACCTGTGCAACGCTTAGCTCCAAAAGTGGCTAATTTCTTTGAGTTTTGATCTCATCCATGATGGACCTTCCTTGAAGATTTACGCTTCTGGCTTTTACCACAGGATGGTCCATAATCCCCTTTCTGTTTTCCTCGACACCTCTCACCCTCTTCCCCTTTTCTCTCGTTCCGCAACTTTCGTTCTGCTAGTTCTGTAGTTTGAGAATCAAATAAACCTCAGCATTCAATTCAAGTGTTTTCATTTTTCAAATTTCCCCGCTCAAAACTGAACATCCCTCTTACAAAAATCCACCATTAGTGAATCTCCCTCCAGGATCCGTCAGGCAGTGATGCTGGGATGAGTGGGATTAGGTCCAATCCCTGTTGAATCATGGCTTGGCTTGACGTGATGAACTGCAATGTGAACTTTATTAGGAATGAAACAATCCGGCAAGTTTGAAGAAAAGCTAACTCTGAAACTATGGTGGAAAATAGATATTAAAAGAGTAAAATTTTCCATCTGCTCTCTGATAGTTCAGGTCACATAGTCCAATGTATCTTCTAGCACAGTGATTCTCAACCTGTGGGTCGGGACCCCATTTGGGGTCGAACGACCATTTCATGGGGGTCGCCAAACAACGCAGTCCGCCATTTTTCCCCCTTTTCCTTAGCTGTGCTACTCCCTTTTATTCTATTGGCTTTTGAAAGCCAATAGAATAGACTCTCTTGAATAGAGTCTAATTCTATTGGCTTTCAAAAGCCAATAGGAATTGTCCAGGCTGTCTCTGCCCTGCTGAGCCCGCCAAAAGTCCCATTCTGCAAACGGTGCTGCACCAGTTGAGTAGTCCTCAACTTACGACCGGTTGGGGGTCGCAGCATTAAAAAGGTTGAGAACCACTGTTCTAGCAATTGTTTTGAGAACAAACTTTAGTTCCCAAAACGTCTCTTCAGCTCTCATGTTGATAAGGAGCACATGTGGGTTCAAAAATTTCCCCTCTTCTCCTCCAGAACTTTGGAAAGCTAGAAGCCTGACAGAGGCCTGGGGTGGTCAACTACAATAACATCTTCCTTCTTTCTCAGGAAGGAGAGAAGACATTCCAGAAAATGTTTGTGTGTGTGTTTGTGTGTATGTTTGTAGAGCAAAGAGGCAGCCCGGCCCTGAACTATATATGAGACAGAGGAAGAGAATTCAGATAACCAATCCCTGGAATCTCCCAGGGTGTAACCATTAGGATGAGAGAAAGAAGGGTTCAGTCTGGCCAGATCCTCTGTATTGCATTGTGGGAAGTCACCCCCCCCAGAGAAGGAAATATTAAAAAGGCAGAATATTATATTTCCTCAAAGGATCTTAAAGAGGCAGAAAAGCATGCCCAGTTTTTCTTAATAGCTCCAAGTCTCCCTCCCACAAGCAGAAACCAGCTCTGTAGAAATGCAGATGTAAACAATCCATTCAGGAATGTTGGAGGCTTCCAGCTAGAAGCTTAGGAAGACAAAGACAGCTAAAATCTACATACCCCACCCAAACTCTAAGACAGGACATAATAGGATTAACACAGAGATACCAAAGGGCACACTCAGACTCAGGTCAAAGTTCATGCCACAGGAACAGGAAACAACTCAAAACTGTCAAGCTCCTGGGCTTGACATGAGCCAGGAGACGGGGAGCACGCAGCCAGCAGCCAAAAGACGCCCATATGGGGCCTGGGAGCACCGTCCAACTCCCGACAGTCAGCTGGGAGTCGGGACAGCATCTGGAGGTTGGTACAGAACCAGCAGGACCTCTAAGCACCGCCCGGTCCCCATCAACCAGCTGATAGTCGGGTCGGCGTGCGCGCAGCAGCTGGGGGTCGGTGGACACACCACTTCCATGTGTTGGCTCGGCTCCTGGGAGCCAGCTGAGAGTCGGCCCGGCTTCCTGCCAGCAGCTGGGAGTCGGTGTGGCCGCCTGATGTCGCGGGCACCTCCCTCCAATGAACCGGACGCCAGAAACATTCCCACCGCCAACTGGACATGTGGATTGAGCAAGCCGGGCCAGGGGGAGAGTATTCCTCACCTTGGCTGTTTCTTCCTCCTTCCGGGCACAGGGGGGAGGAAGTAGAGCGCTGCCTGGTTGCCTGAGAGAGCAGCTGGAATGGCAGAAGCTACATGGGTGCGTCTGGAGGGGGGGAATGCGGACATTGAACTGTGCCTTTTATCCATACAAACCGGATGCTGGCTTGCTGATTGTGTGGGGTTGGTGGGAGGGGCCCGTCTATGTAAAGCACTGGGAGCAGTTCACTCCCAGTGCTGACTTTTTCTTTGCATTAAAGTTTGCTAGTCACCTGTTGCTTTTGTGTCTGGAGTTTGCCGGCAGCAGCAAAGGACATCTGACAAAAACTGGGATGATCCCTTTTGGGAGCCAGCAAGGGATGATGCTGGAGACAATAGAAGGAAGAATTGTCTTGAGAGGCAGAGATTGGCCCCTGTAGGGCACAATAACAGCCAGGCTTGAATCCCTGAAGATCTTCTTTATGAACACCTATCAAGGACAAGGGTTTTTTGTGGGTAACAAGAGCATTCTCTTCTGGACATCCAAAGGTTTAAAGAATGTGTGGTTTTACTCTCTTGAGTGAAAGGAGCTTTTCTTTGCAGGAATTGTTGACCTATGACTCAAGGCCTCCCCTGGAATTATCTGTCCTGCTGTTCCTGCTGCTACTTTTGTACCAGAAACCCTTCTGCCGTGTCTCACCAACCCTGTGTCCATCTTCCTTGTCTATCCTGACTTTTGGATCATGTGAATCCTTTAGTCCACAGGCTAGTTTTGGAGAGAACCCCTCTTGCTCAGATCTGCTCCAAGGAGGTCATGTTCCTTGAATGAAGGCAGAGCCACCGTAGCAACCTGAGAAGGTTAGAAGATGCAGAGAGGTTGCCCAGTTGGTGAATCGAAGCACAAATAAAAAAATAATAATAAGGCCCTGAAATTTGCAGAGAGATTTTTTTTAATTGTGCATTATGTCAAGGTCGCATAATCTTGTATAAATACAGGAAGAGATGCCACTTGTCCAAGTGCCCAGGTTTTGCACACGGAACGGTTGTGTTTGCCTTGAAGACCTGGACCACTTGGTTCTTCACCTGGTCTGATCTGGTTTCTGTTTTGGTGTCAGGGGGGCGGAAAGGCCACGCCCCCTGCCCTCCCCCTTTTCTCCTGAATCTCCCTGTTCTTCTCTCTTGATCCTAGATATCCAGCCCCCCAAAGGATGTCCTCTCAGTGGGGTATAAATAAGCACCCGCTGCCCTCCTGGGCTACACTTTGCAGGCTGAAGAGGAGATTGCAAGATGAAAACTCTGCTGTTGATCCTGGGGGTGGTGGCATTCGTGTACCTGGAGCCAGGTAAGGCTGTCAAGCTTTGATCTTGGGTGACAATCAGACAAAAAAAGGGGGGTGCAGAGGGAGGTATGGTATTGGAGGCAGTTGTGGTCCATTTGGTTGGTGGGGTTTTCTCTTTTGCTCTGCATCAGGAGGGTCCATGGGAGCCTTGAGCGGAGAGGAGTTGCTCTCCATTTGGAGAGAAGCCCATAGCAGAGACAGAGGCTCTTCCAGGCTGGCATTCTGGGGTAGACTGCCTCTGAAAGGAGAGGCTCCTTTGGGTAGTGAATTCTGCCCTTAGAATTACTCCTGGGAGTGGGATGAAAAATGTTCCCTTTTCTTAGTCCTCCATCTGTCTATTTCTGGCTTTGCTCTCACTCAGTGTTTGGATGGCACAGCCAAAGGGGATCAGTGATGCCTCCTTCAAGTCAAGCTCATAGTTTCCTTGTCACCCACCTGCGACTGGTTGCTGTCACTGGGATTTCTGAGTCTCCTCAGTCTAGCGTACGATCCTGGGTCTCCCATCCTAGGATTAACCAGCCCCAACCCTGCTTAGCTTCCACACAGAGACCAGCCACGGAGGTTGACGTTTGCTGAATGTTTTATAGCTTGTTCCAGAACAGGTGATTTCACAATTTGGAGAGAAGCCCATAGCTGAGAGAGTGGCTGTTCCAGGCTGGCATTCTGGGGTAGGCTGCCTCTGAAAGGAGAGGCTCCTTTTCGTAGTGAATTCTGCTCTGGAATTACTCCTGGGAATAAACTGAAAAAATGTTTCCTCTTCTTAGTCCTCCATCGACCTCTGTCTGCATTTGCTATTGCTTAATATTTTTGAGGTGTAGGGCCAAAAGGGATGAATGAGGCGTCAGGTCAAGGCTGACATTCCTCCACACCAACCTGAGATTGTTTGTCATAGCCGAGGTTTCTGATATTCCTGAGTTTAGCTTACAGCCCTGGGGGTCTCCCATCCTAGGATTAACCAGCCCCAACCCTGCTTAGCTTCCAAACAGAGACCAGCTGCTGAGGTTGCCATTTGCTTATCTTTTATGCCTTGTTTCAAAAGAGCTGATTTTTTTTAATATCCCAGCTTTTTTAGTTTTATAATGACCCAAGAAAACAAAGGAAGCTAATCCCCTTTCTCCTACTTTTCCCACTGCAACAATCCTGTAAGGTAGGATGGGCGGAGAAAGATCGCTCAGTTGGCTTTGATACCTAATGTGGGAATAGAATAGAATAGAATAGAATAGAATAGAATAGAATAGAATAGAATAGAATAGAATAGAATAGAATAGAATAGAATAGAACAGGGTAGGGTAGGGTAGGGTAGGGTAGGGTAGGGTAGAGGAGAGGAGAGGAGAGGAGGAGAGGAGAGGAGGAGAGGAGAGGAGAGGAGAAGAGAAGAGAAGAGAAGAGAAGAGAAGAGAAGAGAAGAGAAGAGAAGAGAAGAGAAGAGAAGAGAAGAGAAGAGAAGAGAATAATGAAGAGATGAGAAGAGAATAATGATGAAAAACAGAATAGAGTAGAATAGAATAGAATAGAATAGAATAGAATAGAATAGAATAGAATAGAATAGAATAGAGTAGAGTAGAGTAGAGTAGAGTAGAGTAGAGTAGAGTATAGAGTAGAAGAGAAAAGAAAAGAAGACAAGAGGAGAAAAGAAGAGAAAAGAAGAGAAGAGAATAATGAATAGAAGAGAAGAGAATAATGATGAAAAAATAGAGTAGAACAGAACAGAACAGAACAGAACAGAACTGAACAGAACAGGACAGAACAGAACAGAACAGAACAGAACAGAACAGAACAGAACAGAACAGAACAGAATAGAATAGAATAGAATAGAATAGAATAGAATAGAATAGAATAGAATAGAATAGAATAGGAACTGGAAGGGACCTTGGAGGTCTTCTAGTCCAGAGTTTCCTATTTCCAGACCATTTGCTCATTCTTGGGGATTTTTCACAGTTGACCTTACTAGGAAACAATCTATCCTCTAATAAATAGCGAGATTGCAAGATCAGAAAAATAAATACTGTAACAAACTAAGATTTCTATTTTATTTCTTTCCTCCAGGATACAGTCTGAACTGTCGCTAATGCAATCAAACTGTTTGTGATCTCGATATGAGTTGTGAAGAAGGGGAGAATTTATGCTTTATAATGCAGAATGATAGTGACACAACAGGTAAATCCAATTCTTCTCCTTTCTCATAGCTTTTCTTCTTGTATGGAAACTAGGGCTCCCAAATGCACCTGAGAGTTGCAGGGTTCCCCTGAGGACACGGCCTGTTGCCGGACAGTCGAAGGAATGCAAGGAAAGGGGGGACTTGGAGTGGGAACCCCCGTCCATCCCAGAAATGGCCCAGATTGGAGGGGGAAACTATAAGGACCCACCTCAGTCAACCCCCCAAGAAAGCAGAACTCTTGAAACAGGCATCGTCTCAAAAGGAAACTTTCATTAGGGGTATTAGTGACAGTAAGGAAGTCAAGGCGAGATCTGGAGAAAATCCCGTTCAAACGGTATAGTTAAAACAGCAGTAGACTTCCTCCCACCAGAGTCATCATGTCCATTTGAAATTCAACCAACCCACATGTGGTATGATGTGCGGGTAACTGGCACAGCTGGCGTGCATCTCAAGGTCTTCTCCAGCTTTCGTTTCTCCGCAGCCGTCTCTGTGATAAGGGAGATGCATTCCTTTCTCAAGTGGATGAAGGTAGGAAAGGAGAAGCAGAAAGCGAAAGTTATCCCAAGCGAAAGCAGAATGGCAGGCCCCAAAACAAGAAAACATATGCAGGGGAAACAATAAAGATTTGAGGACCTGACAGAAACCTTATTTAGAGGAAGGGGGAGGGAAAGGTCAGGAGAGATGCAGATATCTTCTTAAATTGACCAAGTTTGGACCTGGCACATTAAGCCCTTAAAATATCCAAGGGAGAAAGAATTTCCCCCAAGTCATGTCAGAATACAGGACTTTCCCCAGAAATATCTGCTTTCTTCATTTACTCCTGAGTATTCCCTAGAAAGGGGGGGGGGATGTTTGCCTTCCTAGCTGGAGGGAACGCATGGATGTGTTAAGTGGGTTTAGCATTTTGTTCAGCAACAGCCGCGGATCTGTTCTTTGGTATTTTTAATAATCATTCTGGTTTGTGTTTCCTTCACAGGAGTCTACACTATCCAAGGATGTGCTTCGACTTGCCCTCCTAGTGCACAAAATCAAACAGTTAAGTGTTGCCCGACCAACTATTGCAATACCTTTCTCAACAGTGGCTAATTTGTTTCACTTTTCTTTCATCCATCATGGACCATCCTTGAAGATTTACGCTTCTGGCCTTTACCACAAGATGGTTGATAATCCCCTCCCTCCCCTGCTTTCTTAGTCACCTCACCATCCTTCCCTTTTCTCTCGTTCCGCAGCCTTCGTTCTGCTAGTTCTGTAGTTTGAGAATCAAATAAACTTCAGCATTCAACTCAAGTGTTTTGATTTTTCGAGTTTGCCCCCTTAAAATTGAACATCCTTCTCACAAAACCCATAGTTAGAGTGTCTAACTAACTAACTAACATCCAGCAGGCAATGATGCTGGGGTGAGCAGGATTAGGTCCAATCCCTATTGAATCATGGCTTGGATTACCTAACGGGGTAAGCACCCTACATTCAGATAGTGTAAAGACGGGAGAAATTCCTATGGGTGAAAATCCTAAAGGGGAAAACAACTCAAGGAGTGTGGGAAATGCTGAAAATATGATCATAAAAGCCCAGTCCAGCACAATACCACTGAAAAAAGAAAGAAAAACAAGAAATCCAGGAAGAAACCAGCATGGTTGCACAAAGATCACAAAGGAGTATTAGGTTTCTTAAGTGATTATAAAACTAATGATATTGGGATTTTTAAAAAATCACCTCTTCTGAAACAGGCCATAAAATGTAAACAAATGGCAATCTCAGTGGCTGGTCTCTGTTTGGAAGCTAAGCAGGATTGGGACTTATCAAGGTAATGATTTAACAGCTATGTAATGTAAGATGTAAGATGTAATGATGGGAATGACTCAGCAGGGTCTGTCTCTCTTTAAGAGCCTTTGTATAAAGGGAAGGCTCTGCTGATGTGTTCTCTCTCTTCCATGTATGTATATTGTTCCTGGTATATGATATTGTAGATATTGTAAGATAAACCACTATTTACTATAGACACTGTTTACTGTGTTTACTCCTGGGTTATCTTGCATAATAAGGCTGTGCATGCTCTAACAGGCTATGGGCCCAGAAAGAGAAGACACCCAGTGAGAGCTTGACCCAGAAACAGAGGAGTTAGGGCATGTGGTTTGTGGTGATTTGTGGTAGTAGCAGGCAACATGGACTCCATCAGCCTAATGGGAGGAGGTTTTGTAGTATCTCATCTGAATGAGACAAGCTACCTCTCCTGGTATCTGAATATGGATATGTACCTGCAAAGGGAGGAGTTGTGGATGATAGTTGCTGATCCACCTGCAGCCCTGGATGATGGGGACTGGAGAAAGAATGAGAAAGCATTGGCCAGCATAGTTTGGAGGATAGCCAGCTGGTTCATGTGAAGGGTCTCCAGTCTGCTAAGGAGTGCTGGGAAGCTTTGCACAGGGTGTGTGTGAGAGAAACTGCATGCAACAAAGTAATACTGACAAGAAAGCTATATAAGACCCAGCTGAAACAGAGAGAGAGCATATCTATTCATTTGCATTCCATGAGAAAGACATTCCTAGAGTTAGAAAAAAGAGGAATGACTTTTACTAAGGCACACAAGGTGTATATGGTGCTCAGTTCATTGGACACTTCGTGGGATGTACTAGTGACCAGTTTAGAGTCCATGCAAGAAAGGGACTTAACCATGAGTTATTTGACTGGCCGGTTGCTGGAGGAGGAACAGAAATGGCTAGAAAGGCAGCACAGACCAGGCCTAAAACTGCAACATCCAAAGATGCCAGTAGAGCAGCCAAGAAGGTTTGCCTGGTGAAACGCTGCTTCGCGTGTGTTTCTACAGAGCATCTCCAGAGATGCTGCCCTGAGAGGAGAAACAGAGGAGTAGTGAAACATGATCGAAGAACTACACAACCAACATTTTCCCTGGCAGCAACATTAACTGAAAAAAACACTTGGTTGTTGGACAGTGGGATGAGTCAGCATATTGCAAATGACCCACAAATGTTTTCAAACCTAAGACCAGCTAAACAAACATCTGTTAGCTTGGCTAATGGACAACAGTATGCTGTTAAAGGACAAGGTAAAGTTTATGTACCTGGTATTGGAGAAACATTGAATAATGTATTATATGTACCAGAGTTAGACCATAATTTACTCCGTATTTCAAGCTTTGATAATATGGGGTATAAAGTGTTGTTTGCAAAGGGTCAATACATCATCAGGAAATGTGAGAGGATTTATGCACAAGGTGTTAGCGGGATAATTTATACGGGTTAGGAAAGAAGCAGGATGGTTGTGCACGAACACTTGCAAACACTCCCATGCATGATAATTACGTACATTTATTACACAGGAGTTGGGTCATGCAAGTTTTAGAGTGCTGCAAAGGATGCCAGACCTAGTTGAAGCAATGCAACAATAAGCAATGCAACGCATATTTAGATTGCACTATTTGTAAAGAGTCAAAGTCCAGAGTGTATCCTGTAAGAAAAGCTCAAGGCAAATAAAGTTTTGCAGTTAGTTCATGCTGATTTAATTGGTCCTATGGTGCCCTCTCTAGGAGAAGCTAGGTACCTACTAGTCTTAGTAGATGATTACATCAGATATGGGTTTTGCTATTTATTAAAGAGCAAACAGAAGCCCTACAACAGTTCAGGCAATGGGTGAACTTTGTAGATCGAAGGTATGGCCATAAAGTATGCCAGTTGCAAACAGATAGAGCAGTGGTTCTCAACCTGTGGGTCGGGACCCCATTTGGGGTCAAACGACCATTTCACGGGGGTCGCCAAACAACACAGTCCACCATTTTTTCCCCTTTTCCTTAGCTGTGCTGCTCCCTTTTATTCTATTGGTTTTTGAAAGCCAATAGAATAGACTCTCTTGAATAGAGTCTAATTCTATTGGCTTTCAAAAGCCAACAGGAATTGTCCAGGCTGTCTCTGCCCTGCTGAGCCTGCCAAAAGTCCCATTCTGCAAATGGTGCTGCACCAGTTGAGTAGTCCTCGACTAACGACCGGTTGAGTAGTCCTCAACTTACGACCAGTTGGGGGTCACGGCATTAAAAAGGTTGACAACCACTGAGATAGAGGAGCAGAGTTCATGTCTGACAACTTCCAAAAGTGGCTGAGGAACTTAGGCATAAGACATAGATGTACAAATCCATACTTGCCAGCAGAAAATGGGATAGCTAAATAGAGGAATGGCGTATTGCGAACCATGAAAGACACACTGCTGGCAGATGCAGAAATGAGTAAAACATACTGGGGGAAAGCCATGAAAACAGCCAACTATCTAGTAAACAGGGTATGGAGTGTTGCTACCAATGAAATTCCATATTATCTGTTACATGGAAGGAAAACTTCATTGGCTCAGCTAAGGACATTTGGCAGTTATGCCTGGGTGCATATTCCCAAAAGCACCAGAAGGAAAGGCCAGAAAAAGGCCAGGAAACTTAGGTTTGTTTGGATATGAGCCAGGTTCCAAAGAATATAGATTCACAGATGGAACAAGGAAGGTTGTGATTTCAAGGTCTGCTAGTTTTGCAGAAAATAGAGGGACATATTGTGTTGTAGGAAGATAGCACAGAGAGAGAGAGGAGAGAGAGAGAGAGAGAGAGAGAGAGAGAGAGAGAGAGAGAGAGAGAGAGAGAGAGAGAGAGAGAGAGAGAGAGAGAGAGAAATATTTGGGGGCATATTAAAAAGGCAGAATATTATATTTCCCCAAAGGATTTTAAAGGCAGAAAAGCAGGCCCAGTTTTTCTTAATACCCAGGCAGAGGCCAGCTCTGTAGAAATGCAGATTTCATAATCCCATTCAGAAAGACTGAGGCCCCATTCATGAGCAAATGCAGAAATGCCCATTCAAAACAGGATCTTTCCAAATCCCTTGGAGTAAGATTTGATAGCTAACAATAGCAGAATGATAGAATTAGAACCAGCAACCCCTCACCCCAAAATCCAACACAGGACATAGCCATCAGCCACAGCCCCAGAGAAGCAGGACATGGCATTTAGGACATAATAGGATTAACCCACCACCATTAGAATACCCAAAGGGCATCCTGAGCCTCAGGTCAAAGTTCATGACACAGGAACAGGAAGAACCTCAAACACAAAAGTCCAAAAAGGTATAAAAACCCACCACTCCCAGCTCCACGTGGTCAGCTGCTCCAGAACCACACTTCTGTCTGGTTCTGCAACTCAATAAACAATAACCTTCTTTCTAAAGTGGTCTCCATTTTGTTTATTCCCGACTTGGACTGGACCCTGATGATTTTTTTTTCTTTCAAGTGTTATGTATAAATGGTGCAAATCCCAAGGATGTAGATAAAATAGAATAATACCTTTGGGGAAGTGCATTACCTTAAGATGTCGAATGCTGCTTGAAGGACAGAAGAATTGTTGTATCTAGCTGCTTATTTATTGCAGGATCCAATAAAAGTCAGTCACTAGGACCAAATATTTCTTCTTCTAAGCTTTGGTGACTTCTTTTAGCCTCTAGTCCCCGAGTCATCTTTTTTGCTCTTCTCTGCACTCTTTCTAGAGTAAAGCTTTGGTTATTTGCTTTGGGTCTGCTTTGGCTTCCACATTGCTCTTCTGTAGTCACTCCACTTGTGAAACTGAATACAGGTTCCTAAATGTTTTATTGAGGGACCTACTATCCTTCTGTGTAATATGACATCCCAAGGAGGTCAGGAAAGAGCCCATAACCTGTGGGTGCTTTTAGATTTACCCCTTGGAGATCAGGTACCATCTGTAAAGGTGGCTGCAAGGGATTTTACAGCCTTTACAGTCTTTCCTGGGCCCGTGATCACTCATGTCTGGACTACTGCAATGCTCTTAATGTCTAGTTCCACCTGAGAGGGCAGGCACAGTGGAGAATGGCAGAGACAAATATAGCAGGAGGCCGGAGGCAAGCTGGACACAGGGCACTGACCCCACCATCTGAAAGCCATCCCATTGTCCACCTCTTGGCTTCTACTCTCAGTCCTGGTTATCAGATCTTTGATCGTCTTACACTCTGCTTTGCTTTTGAATGCCAAGTCTGTGTGCGATAAACACACACCTATGATTTTTTTCAGGGGTGAAGCTGCCAAATTCTTATGGCATGTCTTACGGAAACCTGGTTGTTAAAGGAACAGGCAGATATTGGCTCTCCTCATCACAGCCCCCATCTTGCTTTTGATGTACCACACACTCAACTTTGAGTGACACCAATAGACCAATACCTTCACTCTTGAACCACATGCTTCAGATCCCCCCTGTTACCAGGAGTCAAAGTTAATGGTTAAATTAGGGCTAATGAAGAGGAGAGCTAAGTTTTCCCCCCTGCTCACACTGTGGATATGAGTTTATAAACTGGGATGTTAATGAACGTCGACACAAAACTTTATTAATATGTAGTCTAGATCAATGGTTCTTAACCTGGGCGATATCACCCCCCGGGGGTGATTTTGTTTTTCAGGGGGGGCGGTGGAACAAAAAGGGGGTGATATGGAGGCAATGGAGCGAGAAGTTTTGGGGACACTTTTGAGACTTTTTCATACAGTGAATCGCTGTATATTTGTGGTACAAAAACATCAGATCGCTCGCTCTTAGTGGATTGAATTGTGTTTTCAAATGTTCCTCCAGCTAGCTTCAGTACAGAACGCCGTACATATGTGAAGACGCATCGCTTATCTTTATGCGCGTTGTGCAGCAGCCTCTACCCTTTTTATATTTCTTTTTGCATCTTAAATTTCACTTGTAATTCAAGCATTAAATATTACTGTTTTTCTTTTTGGGCATTTCACTTTCTTGTAATTGAACTTTGTTTTCAGTGGTCATTACATTTAAGTGTCTTGAATAACTAAGATAATAATGAAATACATGTATCACGAAGTTTGGGAACAAAGTGATGGATGGCACCAAAATTTTTCACACAGTTGAGATATGGGGAAAAGACTGGAAATAAATTATTTGCATCGATATGTCCCGATGACAATTTTAAAGAAAACATAAAAAGGGTTTGCATAAATTGAAGAATTATTTCCTATGTTGTGATTGAGAGATTATGTTGGGGGAGGGGGGGGCGATGACAACTTCCTCACTGGCTCAAGGGGGCGATTCGTTCAAAAAAGTTAAGAACCACTGGTCTAGATCACAGGACTGAATCAGCAAAATGAAGTTTCAAACTTCAAAACCATCTTCAAAATCATGGAAGCTGAAAAAGGAGATTATCAGAAGAATAATTTCGGGTTCCGAGCCAAACTGGGGCTGCACAAGAAGAAATTAAAATGAAATCCAGACAGCTGTGAGGAAAGGAGATTTATTTATTCCCAAGAGCAAAGAGGTTTGCCTCCGGGGGTAACTACAGAGAAAATGAGGTACAAATGGCTGATTTATAGGGGAGCTGGTCCTTGGTGTAAGTCTTGAGGGGTATGGATGTCCGTGCATGCTGGTTCCAGGGTGATCCTTGAGGACATGGGAATGTGTAGGTAACTGTCATCTATGATTTTTATTCTGGTGAACATGTAATTCCACTGGGAGACAAATTAAACCAACCCAATAATTTAATTTTAAACTACTTCTGTTTACAGACCTTCTTCTTTGATGTGTGGATTAGGTCTGGGTTTAAGGAAGCTTGAGTAAAAGATTTTCACCCATTTGCTATTTTTAACTGATTAACTAGTTTCAGTTAATAATTGACTGCCAATTATCTGGCGGAGAGGCTGATTCTCAGTCCATTATAGATTCGATTAATATTTAAGGGGAGATGGAGACAGTATAAGGGCAGGGGTCTTCAAACTTGGCCCTTTTATGACTTGTGGACTTCAACTCCCAGAATTCCTCAGCCAGGCACACTGGCTGAGGAATTCTGGGAGTTGAAGTCCACAAGTCATAAAAGGGCCAAGTTTGAAGACCCCTGGTATAAGGCATAAATATATATTTTGATTAAGGCTTTCCACAAGATCACACCACACAGTGATCTTCTAAGTAGCCACAATCACATCCTCTCACATCCAAGCTTGCAACCCTGTTGCTCCTGACCCGGGTTTATCTTCATCAAATTCACCTAGAGTTGTTGTTGTTGTTGTTAGTTGTGAAGTTGTGTCCGACCCGTCGCAACCCCATGGACAATGTTCCTCCATCCTCTCCCATCTTCTGGAGTTAGCTTTTCTCTAAACTCTTGCAGTTATGCCCTTTCCACACGAGGTGGCTAAAACCATCATTAAATCATCACAGAAAGGTATGGGGGGGGAACATAACCAAGAAGAAAATGTAGTTAACAATGCCCTTTGCGTGCACCAAAGTAGGAAGTTATTTTTAATTAAGCCAGTTTTGCAAAATAATGTTATTGTGTGTCACGAGAAGAAGGATGCGACGTCAGCCAGCTGCCTGAGGCCTTGACAATCTTTAATAAATGCTCTCCCTATAAAGAATTATTACGGTGAGGCAAAATAGGTTTGTGCTAGACTTAGATACAAGTGGATACTAAATAAAAATACTACTTAATACAAAGGTCTTCCGGAGTTCTATGTACAAAGGGAAGCTTCGTGTTCTGTAATACGCAAATAGAGACCAATTTTAGTGTAGGAGAATCGAGAATCTATTTGGTGTGTTGATCCTGGGCTCAGGAGCAGACCCTGTGAGAAGCTTTAGGAGTCTGGATGAAATTTGTTATCTCTCTTTCTTGTAAGAATTATGAGCAATCCCTTATCTAGACTGGAAGATGTAGAAGAAACTGCCCAAGATTCCCAAAACCAGCACCATGTTGCTCAGTTTCACGCTGGCAGCCCCACTGATGTTACAGAAGGAAAACTGGCAGCACTTGGTAGCAACGGAGGACGATCCCGTGTCCATGAAATTTTCCTCACAAGATGGAGTGCATTGCTTGCTGATCCGGTAGTCATCAGACTCACCTTTATGTGGCAAAATAAAATCAACTCATTATATAAAATACAAGAAATTAGAAGCCACCAAAAATTGGGGGGGGGGGATTTCAGCCCTATCGAGACTCAGTTTCCCTTTCTGGCTGGACCTTCTAACTCAGCCACTTGAAAATGGATGGACTTCAACTCCCAGAATACCCCAGCTAGCAGGGGTTGAAGTCCACCCAATTTCAAGTTGCTGAAGTGGAGAAACAGGTCTCCCGGGTCCTTTGGCAGTTATTTCCTCTACTTTCCAAGTGTCCCTTATAGAATAACAGAGTTGGAAGGGATCTGTAGGTCATCTAGTCCAAACCCCCCCCCCCCGCCCAAGCAGGAGACTCTACACCAGTGGTTCTCAACCTTTTTAATGCCGCGACTCCCAACCGGTCATAAGTCGAGGACTACCCAACCGGTCGTAAGTCAAGGACTACCCAACCGGTCATAAGGACTTTCCCTGCCCGGGAGCGCCGCGCATGCATGGTGCTGTCTCCTGCGCCGGCCGAGGCGTAGCTGGCAAGCGGCAGAGACGGCGCAGGCCAACCACCGGCTGGGCCACCAGCTGGCTCAGCCCAAGAGAGGTAAGGCACCCGCCGGGCCCCACGCACGTCAGCAACCCTCCCTGCGCCCGCCGGCCTCTCACCTCCCACCCCTGGCCCTCTTTTACTTCCATTTTTAGTAGTTGCTCAGCAGGGAGGGGTGGAAGCTTCCAGACAGCTCGCCTTCACTGCAGACAAGTTGCAGCACCGTTTGCAGAATGGGACTTTTGGCGGGCTCAGCAGGGCAGAGACAACCTGGACAATTCCTATTGGCTTTTGAAAGCCAATGGAATTAGACTCTATTCAAGAGAGTCTATTCTATTGGCTTTCAAAAGCCAATAGAATAAGAGGGAGTAGCTCAGCCAAGGAAAAGGGGGAAAAATGGCGGACTGCATTGTTTGGCGACCCCCGTGAAATGGTCGTTCGACCCCAAATGGGGTCGCGACCCACAGGTTGAGAACCGCTGCTCTACACCATTTCTGACAGATGGCAGTCCAGTCTCTTCTTGAAAGCTTCCAGTGATGAAGCTCCCATAACTTCTGAGGGCAATCTGTTCCACTGCTTAATTGTTCTGTCAGGAAATTTCTCCTTAGTTCCAGGTTGCTTCTCTCCTTGTTGAGTTTCCATCTGTTGCTTCTTGTCCTGCCTTCAGGTGCTTTGGAGAATCGCTTCTCCCTCTTTTTTGTGGCAGCCCCTGAGATATTGGAAGGCTGCTATCATGTCCCCCCTTGTCCTTCTCTTCGTTAAATTAGACATACCCAATTCCAGCAACCTTTCTTCATATGTTTTAGCCTCCAGTCCCCTGATCATCTTTGTTGCTCTTCTCTACACTCTTTCTAGAGTCTCAACATCTTTTTTATAGCATGGAGACCAAAACTGGATGCAGTCCCACTACACAGCATATGGGAAGAACATTAAACATTCCTCATTTCCCTGGTACATCGATTCTTCTTCCAACTTTCTTAACAATGGTTGAACCTCTCTGGTCTCAGACATTGAGGGTCAAGTCTATCTGAAACCAGCATCTTCTTATCAACTACCCCTTCCTTTCAAATCTCTGGAGAACCAGTAACCTGGAACTTAAGTTAAGCTCAAAGGAAGCTTTCTTCTGTTCCTTGTATAATTCAGGTCTGGACCCAAACATGAATATCAACATCCTGGCACCCTGTTGCCAGGATTTAATAGCAATGTTCAATATTTTTAAGGAGGCTGGAGGCTAAAACATATAAGGAACAGTTACAGGAATTGGGTATGTCTAATTTAATGAAGAGAAGGATGAGGGGGGACATGATAGCAGTCTTCCAGTATCTCAGGGGCTGCCCCAAAGAAGAGGGAGTCAAGCTATTCTCCAAAGCCCCTGAAGGCAAGACAAGAAGCAACGGATGGAAACGGATCAAGGAGAGAAGCAACCTAGAACTAAGGAGAAATTACCTGATAGTTAGAACAATTAATCAGTGGAACAACTTGACTCCAGAAGCGGTGAATGCTCCAACACTGGAAATGTTGAAGAAGAGACTGGACAGCCATTTGTCTGAAATGGTATAAGTTTTCCTGCCTGAGCAGGGGGTTGGACTAGATGACCTGCAAGGTCCCTTCCAGCTTTATTATTATTACTATGATTTATTGTTGTTGTTGTTGTTGTTAAAATAGTTTGGACATTAGATCATTCCCCCTAAACCACTTTCTAGTTCATTGCAAAAGTGGCCAGTACCGTAATTATTTCTGCTTCCATGATACGTACCATGTCTGCCACGGTTAACCCTTTTAATGGTAGTGCAGTATTTGTCTGTTTCTGCGCACTTCTTCATGGACATGCAGTTCCAGTTGGAAGGCTCATTTTCACAGTAATAGCAGGCGAGGGAATGTACTGAATAAAAGATAGAAAAACACATTTTTATACAGGAGTAGCCAGGCTAACCTTTCCGTGTTAAGAATCCAATATTCCTGGACCTTGTAGTGCAACCTAGGAATGGCTGAGCATTTTAAATCCAGTACAGCACAGGTCCCCAACCTTTTGAGCACCAGGAACCAGTTCTGTGTAGAGAGGTTTTTCCCGTGGACCAGAGGGGGTGTGGTTTTGTGTGCTGACTGCATCCCGCGGATGGGGCTTTGCTTGTTTCTGCAGACTGGTTGCTGGCATGCTGTGGTCCGGTACTGCTCCACGGACCGTGTATTGGGGACCCTTGCAGTAGAGGCAGTCCTGGCCTTACAACCATAATCAAACCCAAACTTCCTATTGTTAAGTGAGACAGTTTTTAAGTGAGTTTTGCCCCATTTTATGACCTTTCTTGCCACAATTGTTAAGGGAATCCTTGTTGGTAAGTTAGCCACATGGTTGTTAATTAAATCTTGCTTCCCCACACGTTGTGCTTTGCAAAAGGGGATCAGGTGTCCCCGGGGCATGGCAACTGTCATAAATATGAGTCAGTTGACAAGCAGCTGAATTTTGATCATGTGACTGTGTGGATGCTACAATGGTCGTAAGTGTGAAAAACGGTCATATGTCACTTTTTTCAGTGCTGTTGTAAATCAATTGTTGTAAGTCAAGGAGACCCTGTGCAGATTGAACCAAAATATATCAGCAGCCTTTTCTTTCACACTTCACTATAATTACAAGGAAGAGTAATTGTTAAATTATTAGATGGAATAAGGACACCTCGAAAACCCTTTTGGGTGGATTCCAAATTCAGAACATAGCAGTGCAAACGTTTTATAAAAACCAGCTCGTAGGAATTTACAAAAGCATCAGTTGTTGGTTGATAGCAGTGGTGGGATTCAAACACCTGAACAACCGGTTCTCTGCATGGATGCAGACCTGGGCCTCCCAGGCCTAGAATGGACTTCCGGAAGTGGCATCCATGCACTTTCGGTCGGCTGTTCTAGGCCTGGGAGGCCTAGAAGGACTTCCGGAAGTAGTATCCATGCACTTTCGGTTGGCCGTTCTAGGCCTGGGAGGCCTCCTCCAGGCCTCCGAGGCCTAGAACGGACTTCCGGAAGTAGGGTGCATTCAGTCGTTTCTCCGAACTCTGCAAAATTTAGCTACCGGTTTTGCCAGACTGGTGCGAACCGGCTGAATCCCACCACTGGTTGATAGTAAATGTATAGGTAACCTTCATTTAGCACCTGCTTCATTTAGCAACTGTTTGCAGTTACAACTGTAATGAAAGAATAGCTTTACAACCAGTTTACGACATTTGCGGGTCTGTGAAGCAAAGAAAAGAAGTTAGATCATAAGCACCGATGTGGTTTCACTTAGTGACCGCTTTGCTTAATAACTGAGCTGCTGGTCCCAGTTGTGGTTACTAAGCAGGGAACACCGATAGTCCCATATATTATGTTCATGTAAATACTATTCACTGGTAGTCCTCAATTTATGACCACGATTGAGCCCAAACTTTCTGTTGTTAAGTGAGACAGTTGTCAAGTAAGCTTTGCCCCATTTTATAACTTTTTTTGTCACAGTTGTTAAGTATATCACTGCAGTTGTTAAGTTAGTAACCTGGTTGTTAAGTGAATCTGGCTTCCCCATCGACTTTGTGGTCAAACGGTCGCAAAAGGGGGCACTGCAACTGTCATAAATATGAACCGGTTGCCAAGAGTCTGAATTTTGATCCCGCGACCACGGGGATGCTGCAAAGGTCATAAGTGTGAAAAACGGTCATAAGTCACTTTTTTCAGTCCTGTTGTAACTTTGAACGGTCCCTAAATGAACTGTTGTAAGTCAAGGACTACCTGAACTTGCTTTTATGTAGACATGCAGAAGACCAAATTGCACAATATCCCTTTCTCATGCCAGGATACTCATCTCCGTGCAAGCTTCCAAGCTCAATTAAAGGGTATTTTTTTAAACAGTAAGCAAATCCCATTTTCAATACGGATTCTGCTATAATCCAGTTGACCACCAGGTACCAGCAGCAGAACAGAATTTTTTTCCCTGAATCTCTGATGCCATCTAGTGGTGATCTGAATATTGGAAGCCTAGATGTGTGAGAACCCTAGCAATTTAATACAAATATTATCATGCTCAGCTTTATTGGTAGCACACAAGTAGCCTTTGACTTACAACTCACTCCTTAGTTCATAGGTCACCAACCTTTCTTGGTTGGTGGACCAGAGAGAAAGGGGGGGGAGAATTTTATGCGTGCACGCACGCACACAGCCACAAGCATGCGCGTGCTGCAAACAGGGCAGGGTTAGCATTTGCGTGATACTCATTAGCCCTGCCCCGTTCTTGTGCATAGCACCCTGTTTCTAGGTCCCAAGGCGTGGCATCAGCCCATTTTTGCACACCGAGGTGCAGTGGCATCCCATTTTCGCACCCTGAGATGTGGCGTGGCCTGTTTTTGTGCAGCATGGTGGCATGGCGTCCTGTTTTTGCGCTCCAAGATGCAGCAGCATCTTGTTTTCACGCAGTGGCCCATTTTTGCACCACGTGCCACGGCATCCTGTTTTCACGCCCTGTGGGAGGTATGCACACATGTGCATGCGCTGGCATGCCTGTCCCGCAGCCCAGTGGCCAGAAGCCCATGGCCCGCTATCGGGCTGCAGCCCACAGGTTGGGGACCCCTCCCTTAGTTAATCTCTTGTACTTACGACCCAGTTCCAGAGTTCTGATAGTTGGGCTCCCCACCATCACATAATCACATGTGAGACATTTGGCAATTGCTCTGCATTTACAGCTATTTGCAATGTCCCAGAGTCACGTGGCTGCATTTTGCAACAGTTTACAACATCGGCACTTAGTTTTAATTTTCAGCAAAAAAATTAAAAGAGATAGAGAACCATTAGTTCAACAGCCACAGCATTCACTTAACACAGTGCAAAACAGGTCATAAAATCAGGTCAGTCACATGGGTGACCCAGTTCAGGACGATCAGGATTTAATGACCATTACGGTCATAAGCCAAGGACTATCTACAAATGGTTTCCTTCTCTGTCTTTCTCTAGGCATCTTGAGAAGATCTGGTTTCAATAGCCATGGAATCCTGCTTTTAAAAGCTCACTATATACCGTGTTTCTCCAAAAATAAGACCGGGTCTTATATTAATTTTTGCCCCCAAAGATGCATTAGTGCAGTGGTTCTCAACCTTTTTAATGCCGCGACCCCCAACCGGTCGTAAGTCGAGGACTACTCAACCGGTCGTAAGTCGAGGACTACTCAACTGGTGCAGCACCGTTTGCAGAATGGGACTTTTGGCGGGCTCAGCAGGGCAGAGACAGCCTGGACAATTCCTATTGGCTTTTGAAAGCCAATAGAATTAGACTCTATTCAAGAGAGTCTATTCTATTGGCTTTCAAAAGCCAATAGAATAAGAGGGAATAGCACAGCTAAGGAAAAGGGGGGAAAAAATGGCGGACTGCGTTGTTTGGCGACCCCCGTGAAATGGTCGTTCGGCCCCAAATGGGGTCCCGACCCACAGGTTGAGAACCACTGCATTAGTGCTTATTTTCCTGTTAGGTCTTATTTTGGAGAAAATATGGTACTAAATGTGTCCGTCTCGCTGACAATCTTAACTGGGGCTTATTTTTGGGGTGCGGCTTATATTACAAGCATCCTGAAAAATCATTCTAGGGGTTCATTTCCGGTTGGGTTTTATTTTTGGGGAAAACACAATAGGGAGGGTGGTCCTCTGTCCACCTCAACAGCCCTCTTCTTGTATCCTCAAGTTTCAGAATAATAGAGTTGGGACTTTGGACCTTAGTTTTCTAATCCAGCCCCCCTGCCCAAAGCAGGAGACCCTATTCCATTCCAGACAAATGGCTGTCCAGTCCCTTCTTAAAAACTTCCAGTGTTGGAGCATTCACCACTTCTGGAGGCAGGTGGTTCCACTGGTTAATTGTTCTCACTGTCAGGAAGTTTCTCCTTAGTTCCAGGTTGCTTCTCTCCTTGGTTAGTTTCCATCCGTTGCTCCTTGTCCTGCCTTCAGGTGCTTTGGAGAATAGGTTGACCCCCCTCTTCTTTGTGGCAGCCCCTCAAATATTTGGACAATTGCTACCATATCATCCCTAATGGGGAGTTAACTCATCTCAGAAGCTGTATCTGTTCTACAAACTTTTCAACATAGAATAATATGGTTGGAAGGGACCTTAGAGGTCTTCTAGCCCAACCCTTTGCTCAGGCAGGAGACCCTAGACCATTCCAGATAAATAGTTGTCCAGTCTCTTCTTAAAAACCCCCAGTGATGGAGCACCTGCAACTTCTGTAGGGAGCCATTCCACTAATCAATTGTTCTCCCTTTCATGAAATTTCTCCTTAGTTCTAGGTTGCTTCTCTCCTTGATGAGTTTCCATCCGTTGCTTCTTGTCCTGCCTTCCGGTGCTTCGGAGAATAAATTAACCCCCTCTTCTTTGAGGCAGCCCCTCAAATATTGGAAGACTGTTACCATGTCACCCCTTGTCCTTCTCTTCGTTAAACTGAACATTTCCAAGTTGATCTTCTGCTACGGTACATTCAGCCACAGAGTATCAAGAGCCATCCAAGTTATTCTTGTTGCAATCGTGAAGTCTACATCTAATTACCTGTTGTCCATTTATCCTTAGATCTGCAGAACCTGTTGAAATTCTAATGGAGATTTTGACATGTAAGATCCGCTTGTTTGTTTACCTGCCCTGCCTAGGTTGAAAGAACTCATTAAGACCCAAATAGCTGGGTGGGGTGGCCACACACCTTATGGAAGAGGAATGACCCAGAAATAAATTAAAAGAAGAAGAATTCCGTGGGGTGTTTCATTCAAAGGTAGTAGGCCCTGGCAACTGACCTGTTTGCATCACATCGTTTTCATCAAGCACCAGAGTTGGGAAGCGTGAAAGACACGGCGAGAAAGATTTGCAGGCATTCAAGTCAAACTTACGATTTTTCCCGGGGCA